TTCCATAAATATTTTTTTCCATACCATTTTATTTATTTTTTTGGTTTTTTATTTTTTTTATTTTTATAAATTTTTTTTTATTATTTTTTTTTTTTTTTTTTTTTTTTTTTTTATTTTAAAAAAAAAAAAAAAAAAAAAAAAAAAAAAGCCATAAGAGAAACCCCCACCTCGACTTATCTTATCGTCCGAAACATCCGCTTCAACATCCGCACTCCATCTCCGAGCTATCAATTACCTACCTATTACATACCTATAAGTACACAGTTAAGTATATTCGATGGACCTAGACAATATTCCACTACCTAAGAAATAAGACCTTACCTCTTGCCAGTGTGTCTCTCACTCGATTGCGTGACATGTTTCATACATTCATAACGACAGAACCGACAAAGCCGATGCACACCGACAAAAATACGCATCTATCTCGGCGCGCAAGCATAGTTAACTGCGGTTGTAGCAGAAATTGCAAGAGATCACACGATCACTTGCGAATTCGGGTAAAGCCCCTTGTGGTCGAGACTGTCGAGGTGTATTGCCTAGAAGAATGGTCGCCTCGTCTAACAACTTGGCGATGTTTCCTGCAGCCTACTTGCAGCCTGCTTTGCAGCGCCGAGGAAAAGCTTAGCAACTCTCTTGACAAATGCGAGGGGGGGAGACTATTTTTGACCAACCACCTCCTCGGTGCTGAGGCGAATACGTCCTGTACTAGTAGGTATGTACAATTACAGTGCAGATATGTGTAGAGGTACAATACGCACACTAGTACCGTCAGTAGACCGGGACCTATCGACCAGTTCAGCCAGTCTATTCGTTGATGGCTCGTAGGTTACTGCCGTAATGCTGTTAGAACGGGCGGGGGGTTCGGCTTAGTGTCGCTTTTACAAAATCTTCCTCGGCAGGTCCAGCGCCCTTCGCTGCTTCGGTCGCTATGACCCTTGACTAACCCTAGTCTATAACGTTGAGAGGTGAACTTCGGCCCGCATATGCCCCTTGCTCGCAGCTCAGGCACCTCGCGTACCCATCACGCCTTTTTACTAGGGAAGGGTACCTATCCCCGACGGATGGATGTAGCTTTTCCAAGCGTCTTGCAGGGATCTTTGCCGAATCATCTGGTCCAGGGAAGAAACGTGTTCCAATTCTTGCTTTTGATTGGACCATCTATAGTCGCCTCAAGATCCAGAGATATCGTTCTCGAGCTAACATCTTAACATCTAAACCTGATAGTTTCTGTATCCCGAGCATTCTTTGACAAGACGTACCTCATCCTTTTACGTCAACGAACGAAGATCCGTCGAAACAGTTCCAACTGCCACTCTAAAATTATGCTCGACATTTTTCTACACTCACCTGCCGTATTGTTAATTACACGTGTGATCTATAATGAACGGTGCTGGATTGTTGAATCAAACTTCGTAGGAGAAAAAACCTGGAAACTTCTCTCGGTTCGTATTTTTTCTTCTTTTCACACTTCCCTGACAACAGATTGGTACACTACTATGCATCTGATTCGATATCAGTTCCTGGAGGGCCGCTGACGCGGGTGATGCAGCCCCATCGCCAAGAGGATGCTACCATGTAGAAAGGATGTTAAGACCCGCATGGTACGTAAAGAAGTTCGGTCCCCTATACAGCTTTGTGGGGGATGGCGAGGGATTGCAGCTTGCCAGTCAGAAGCCAAGCATCTCCATCGTGTCCAGTAGTACTACGTAGTTCTACCTTGTCCACCCAGTCTACCCAGGTCACCAAATCCACTGACCTAGTACGCATTACTCTTAGTTTCTACCGAATAGTAGTATCTCTGATCGATTGAAACATCACCCTTCATGAGGTAGCTCGCCACGGTCACCCCGTACGAATTTTTTTTTTCTTTTTGGCTTAATAACTTTTTGATCTCTTTTATATAACTGTGGGCTTGGCCCATTCCCCCCCAGAGTTAATAAACTTTTGCTTCTTCCATTTCTGCAACTGCACTATACTCGTGCTCAAGTTGCTACATCTCTTCTATCTTGGTACGCACCTGGGGATACACTACAGAAACTCTATTGGTCGCGTGTCTGGTTTATAACCTTTCTTCCCCCCGGCCCTAAGAAAACCGTGCACAAAACGCCACAGGACACCTTTTCCCTAAAGCCAAGACGGCGTGACATCAAAGTCCCAACTTGACAACGACATCCTAATAAAATATTTTTTTACTAAACGCCTCGAGAAACCCTTCATCCTCTTCTTCCATTCTTCTCTGCATCCCTACCCGTTAAACTATGGCGAAATTTCTTCGCCGTCATCACGAACATGATCCCCCGATAGGAGAGATTCCTGTGCCTCACGGCCCCGAGACGGGCGATGAGCATCTACATTACCCTCCCGGAGCTTCCACCAGCTACACTACCGAATATGAGCGGCAGATTTTCTCGCATTTGACACATCCTGACGACTCGTACACGGATGATGGAGTCTACTGGGCCGACCTACCATTCTGGAAGCGCTGGTCCTTCGTTAGCAAGGTCGATCGAGCTGAAAGCGCTAAAGAAGCCAAAAACATATGGGCTATGGTAAAGGAAGATCCCCTCAGCCCGGTCTCCTGGTACTTCCGAAACGCTATCCTACCCGGTGCCGGACTGGGTCTGGAAGGCTACGTTCTTTTCTCCATTGGAAACCTAGAGCCTCTCTTTGAGAGCGTATGGGGAACCTGCTGGGGCAAGTCCGGTACCGAATGCAGCAGGAATTGGGTGGCCGCCGTGACCTACCTTGAAATTATTGGTATCATGGTTGGGCAAGTCTTCGTCGGTGTATGTTTTACTCCCCTCTCTCTACCGAAATCCAGCGAAATAAAATAGGAGAGCGTTACTAACGGTTTCTTATAGGTCATTGGCGACTGGGTTGGCCGAAGATGGGGTTTGATACAAGACGCCTTAGTTATGTTGCTCGGTCTGCTCATGCTAACCGGATCTTGGGGTACCACACTCCAAGGCTGGGTTATCATGTACGCATGGTCCCTATTCGTTTACGGTAAGGAAGCTCAGACTTGCAACCCGCGTCTTATCTGTATCGGGAGGACTAACATTTGCAATGCTACCTATAGGTATCGGAGTCGGTGGTGAATACCCGATTACGGCAACATCGTCCATGGAAAATGCCGTTACTGCCGGTAGATTATCGACTAGGGATGATCGTCTTCACCGTGGTCGCAAAGTTACAATGGCATTTTTGATGCAAGGTTGGGGTCAGTTCGTCAACCAGGTCGTGCTCATTGTGCTATTGGTGATTTTCAACCGTGGTTCCGGTAGCCCCCCGTACTCGACGACTGCTGCCCAATATGCTTTCCGCTTGTCGTTTGCCTTCCCAGCTATCGGCACTTTATGGTTGGCTTACTACCGTACCTGGAAAATGAAGTCTGCTAGCAAGCAGTTGGAGGCGGCTAAGAGGAAGTCGAACGTAACTGGATACGACGTCCGGTCTCTTAAGTTGACAGTCGGCAACTTCGGCGGACGTCTACTAGCCACCGCCGGTGGGTGGTTTTGCAACGACGTATTCTTCTACGGCAACAAGCTATTCCAAAGTAAGACTCATGTTGAACTTGATACATTCATCCGCATAAAACTTACATGAATCTAGGTCAATTCATTAAAGTTATCTCTGGTAACTCCAACTCGATCATGACGACGTGGACATGGAACTTGGTTAATGTGGTCGTTTCGCTCGCTGGCTATTACGCTGCATCCATGCTGATTGACAACAAGATGTACGGCAGGAAAAGCATGCAACAGGTTGGTTTCCTGATGTGCTTCATCATGTTTGTAGTTCCGGCATTCCACTACGACTACTACAGCAAATCTGCGGGGATCCACGCTTTCCAGGCGATGTACTTCCTGTCATCCTTCTTCAACCAATTCGGTCCCAACTCGGTCACTTTCCTCGTCGCTGGTGAGGTTTTCCCTACCCAGATTCGAGCCAGTGCCCACGGATTTTCAGCCATGATTGGAAAAGCCGGCGCTCTCTTGGCTTCCGTACTGTACAACTACATCGATACCCGAACTAAGTTCTACGTGGTCCCTTGGTTCGGCCTTGCCGGCATGCTCATCACGCTAATTTGGCTCCCCGACACGACTGGCCTCGACCTTAAGGAGCAGGAACGTCGGTGGCAATACATCCTTGATGGCCGCGAGAACGAGTACCACGGAATTGCTATCCACCCTCAGCATCTTTCGCTATGGGAGAGATGGACTGGTGTCGGAAAGAACTATCACCCCGACCTGGATATGAAGGCCAAGATCAAGGACATGCGCGCCGACTGGCAAGAGAGAGAGGCTGCCAGAGCTGCTAGCGATGTGGAGTCAGCAGCTCCGCTTGAAGACGATGAAGACTACACACACGAAATCTACAACTACTTCAAGGGCCATGCGCCCAGCAGCGTCAACTCGCTAAAGCAAGAAAAAGGCGTGAACCGGCCGTCACCTTCTAATGCAAACGGCTCGTCGAGCGAAACGATAGAAGAGCACACCCTAAACGAAAAGAGCGAGCCTAAAGATTCTTAAGACATGGGAATGAATGGAGCGCGCTTCGGGTTGGAATGGGGTAAATAATCTGTTTATGATAAAAGGGGCACTTTTCATGTTAATGTTGGATTTGATGATATCCTCGTTAAGTTAAGTGAGGGCGAGAGGGACTAAGTACCTAACCTAAGATTCCCAATACGGCTGTATGATGAAATAGCATGGCGTTATAGGTGAAATGAAATGAAATGGAATGAAATAAGTTGAATTGATGACTTATTGTATGCAATTCGATGCAATTCGATGTTGTGAGGTTAAATGTATATGTCAGGTAGGTACCTAAGTATTTGGTAAAATTACTTGCATATAGGTACCTAGTAAGAGGGTTAATTACCAGGTAGGTTGTAAGTGTGTAATTGTCAAGTGACAGCGCGTAAATGAGTCCCTTTTGTCGCGTCAAAAAGTGGGTGTCATTATTATTCTTCCTATCTGCTGTAACCCGACCGAGGGGCAACTTTCTTTTTTAGCACTCTTTTTAGCACCCTTTCTGCCTTTTAGCACTTACAATTGTTCCTGGACAGCAAATTGATATTATAAAACTACCTACATTTTTGAATTTGCGACGCTTCTATAGACAAATTCGTGACATGTTCAACTGCGCAAACTCTGCATTCGCCTTTTCCTTGCAATGCGAGCCTCGACAAAGTCAATGACCCCTCTAAAGCAGTCCAAGCTAAACTTCGGCTCTGCAGCAAACGGCAAGAATGGAAAGACGCCCATCGGGAAGAAGAAAGCACCCACGAATGGGAATATACTCAATTTCTTCCAGAAAGTTGAAGTAGAGGAGCAACTGTTCTGCGCCGGTCCTACGAATACCTCCGCCCCTACCCCAAGCGTTGCGCCACCCCCGAAGGTTGACGAAGGTGTATTTGGAGACGAAGAAGAAGTTGGAAAAGAAAAAAGATCACCTAAAAGGAGGAAGTTAAGCCATGGTGCAAACGACAGTCTACCGCAACACCCGGGGAGCACGCGGGACGAAGAAGAATCCTATCAGATGAAGCCAACGGTGCTAGAACGGACGACTACCAAACAAGCTCGAAAGAAGGTTCCTTTTTTGATCGATTCCGATAGCGAAGACGATGATATAGAGTCATCACCGTCTAAAGACAATATAAATACCGAGACGGATGCTACTATATCCGAAATAAAAAATGAAACCGCAGAATTAAATGGAGCTTTCATGCCAAATTTACCAGTGGACGAGAGTTGTGCGGAAGCCCCTGACATTCCGCCACTCGATCAAGAGGAGCCTATATATGATGAATTTAAAGATCTCGAGGATGTAGAGGGATTATTTGACGACATCGAGGAGTACGGTGATGGCGAGGAATTCCGGGAACGACGTTTTATGGCAGAACAAGCGCGCCTCGAAGCTGAAGAGGCGGGGAACTATACCTCGGACGGTGGGGTAGGCGAATTTCAGGATGGTGAAGGGATCGTAGAATGTTGTCCCTTGTGTAATGCAAATCTGGCTGGCATCACTCCAGACCAAGCCACAATTCATGTGAATGCTTGTCTAGATGGCAATCCGATACCCCTTCCGAAACCCAATCCGGAAGGCCAAGCACCTTCGGAAAAGGTAGTAGTAGATACACCTGAGGTTAGCAAGCGGTTTGCCAAAGCCGCCGTACCACGGCCCGGTCAAGCCAATCCGATTAGTCTAGGAAGCACGGCAAACAAACCCACCTCGGCCTTTAGCAAACTAATGTCCGGACACGCGGAAGATGCGGCGTGGGCTTCGGCCGCAGCTGCAGAGCATGCCTCGCGTGGCAAACCCGCATACAAGCGGACGTGTCCCTTTTACAAAATCATGCCCGGATTCTCGATCTGCGTTGATGCCTTTCGGTACGGCGCCGTAAAAGGCTGCAATGCCTACTTTCTTAGCCACTTTCATAGTGACCACTACATCGGCTTGACGGCCAATTGGTCTCACGGGCCTATCTACTGTAGCAAGGTGACTGGGAGTCTTGTGAAGACCCAACTCCGAACTGCGGCAAAGTGGGTGGTTGAGCTAGAGTTTGAGCAGACGGTCGAAGTTCCGGGAACCGAAGGGGTGACAGTCACTATGATCCCAGCCAACCACTGTCCAGGCAGTTCGTTGTTCCTTTTCGAGAAAGCTATTGGCAAAGGACCTAATCCAAGAAAGCAGCGGATTCTACACTGCGGCGACTTTCGAGCTTGTCCAGCGCATGTCAACCATTCGCTACTAAAGCCGGACATAGTTGATAGCGTTTCTGGCAAAGTTAAACAGCAAAAGATCGACGTCTGCTACCTAGACACGACGTACCTCAACCCTCGCTACTCCTTTCCTCCCCAAGATGACGTCGTTTCGACCTGCGCCGAATTTTGCAAGTTGTTATCTGACGATGCCAGCGATCCCGACGAAATCATAGATGCATTAAAGCAAGACAAGGGCAAGGTCAGTAAATTCTTCAAAAAGGAAGAGAAGAAGAAGAGCCCTTCATCGGGCGGAAAAGCAGACGAGGGCAAACCGCGAAAGAACCGTCTCCTCGTCATCTGCGGCACGTACTCGATCGGCAAGGAGCGCATATGCAAGGCCATCGCGCAGGCGCTGGGCACCAAGATCTTCGCGTCCCCGGCTAAGATCAAGATCTGCGCGCAGCTGGGCGACCCGGAGCTCGCGGCGCTCATGACGTCCGACCCGCTCCAAGCTCAGGTCCACATGCAGATGCTGACGGAGCTCCGCGCCGACACCCTGCAGGCGTACCTCGACGGGTACAAGCCGCACTTCTCCCGCATCGTCGGGTTCCGCCCTAGCGGCTGGAACTACCGCGCTTCCCCTTCTTCCTCTTCTTCCGGAGGCACGACCAAGAGCGGCAGTATCACTACCACTACCGCCGCCGCCGCCGCCGCGACGAATAATGCCAACACGTCGCCCGCCAGCATACCCACCACGACCCTCCTGCACGGTTCGGCCTGGCGCACGCGCTTCTCGCTCGCGGACCTCGCGGCCCAGCGGCAGCGCGGGGGCACCCGCGACGCCATGTGCTTCGGCGTGCCGTACTCGGAGCACAGCAGCTTCCGGGAGCTGGCGCTGTTCCTGATGGCGCTGCGAGTGGAAAAAGTCGTGCCGACGGTCAACGTGGGCAGCGACCAGGGCCGCAGGCGCATGAAAGGGTGGATCGACCGGTGGCTTGGGGAGAGGAGGAGAGGCGGGGTCGTGAGGGTTTTGGAGGAGAAGGAGGAGGGGAGGGATAAAGAAAGGGGTGAGCAGGATGTCGAGCTTTGGGAGGGAAAGGATGGGAAGGGTGGGGGGGCTTGGTGGTAGGGTAGGTAGGTACCTTAAGTAGGCTTAGGTTAGGTTAGGTTAAGTTAGGACTTTGTTTACCTACCTTATGAATGGGTCGTGATGAATTGAATAATTGGAAGACGGTATTGAACTGCCCCTTTTGAGGGGTTGGGATTATATATAGGTTAGGTACCTCCTATGTGTGTGTGATATGAATCTTAGGGAGGTATATATTATATAGGATAGGTATAATAGTCTTCATGAATGAATGAATGAATGCTTCAGGTATTGTATAATATTCTAGCCACTCTGCCACTCAAACCCACCCTAATGATTAGGCTATGAAAAGGGGGATAAGAGCTAGGTAAGTAATCAGAGAGGGCGAGGGTTATATAGGCTGATTGGTTATAGGTGATTACCGCGCGCGTACATAATACAATGATCAAGGAATAGAACTGGTAGTTAGTTAACTAGCCTCCTTATACAGCAGAGAACTCATCCCCATTCCCATCCCTATAGCAATATATCATTATAACGATCCCGCACAGGTTATTCTTTTCTCTCTCTTTCTTTTCAGGCCAACCCAGTTTTCGAATTCTTTCTCATCCATGCTTTCGAATCCAGCCAAGCGCAAAGTAAGATACCTTATACTTGCCCCTGTCTCTTTCTTGTCATATATGTCGAGTTAGGTTAGGTACCTAGGTAGGTAGGTATGTCATGACCAAAAAAAAGAGGCAACCTTCAGTCTCAAGTGATATTCGGCGACATCCGGCTTCATGTTTAAATGAAAAGATTATTACTGCCTGCTTCTTTTTTCTCTTCTTATTTTTCTCGAGCGAGACTTGAGTTTACTCGCTCCCGGATATACCATCGTTCAGCTCATTTCCCCTTGCCCGCTTGCTGCGCAGCTTCTGTCGAGATTGTTAGGGTTGGGTTAAGAGTTAGATTGTTATTAGAAGAAGAAGAAGAAGAAGAAGAAGAAGAAGAAACTATGCACGTACCTCTCCTCGTCGCGTCCTCTAGCAGCGGGACGTCTACGGCTGCGGCGGGTAGATGGACGTATCGCACGACCGAGCCTCGGATGAAGACGTTCTTAACTGAGCTCTACGGCACCGTTTAGTTAGTAAACCAGAGAAGTAAGTGCGTGTAAGCAAGCGTCTATCTTTTGGCATCTGAGGGGTAGATTATCTTGTTATGTGAAAAATAAAAAAAGCTTTCGACTTACCAGGTGAGGGTACTTGATCTCTTCGACGACCTGTATATCATCGAGCTTGATATTGAGGTACTGGTCAACGCTCTTGAGCGTGCCTCGGATCTGGATGTCGTTCTTGAGCTCCACGGTCACCTCGTGGTCGATGAGCGTCTTGAAGAAACTGTCCGTACCGACAAAATGTTAGCTGTCCATTCATTCCCTTCCGTAAGGCTCCCTATCTCTCTTCCTTCCTCTGGCCTCCTGCCTTCTTCTTCTTTCTCATATATCCATCCTAATGTCGTGAGAGGTGTCGCCGCAGTTCCGCATATATATATAGTTCACGTGACAAAAGCATATAGGTTAGCTTTCCCATGCTTCGGGTACTTCCCCCCATGACGGAACAGAGGCAATCCCGGCTAATTAACCAACAGCACAGCTCCCCCAACTTTGCAGAGAAACACCCGATAATAATCTTTGGGCTGGGAGGTAAGGTACCTTCTTTCCGATCGGCAAATAGTAAGATAAGAGATGGGTTAACTGAACAGCTTACCTAAAGAATAACATATTGATAGTTTGTGAAGATGTTCTGGATTTGAATGGGCTTCAGAGGATCCGAATGCTGCACGTGGTTTGATGTAAATGATGTAAATGCAATGCCCGGATTTTGCTTGATGCTTGATTTGCTGCTTGTCTGTTCTGTTAATGAAAGACGGACGGTATAAATAAAAGTGGAGTAGTCACTTCTTCACATAATATTGTTAGTCACGTGACTGTACTCTCATTAAAAAAACCATGACATGGCCTTTTTACTACCTAGGTAGTACCTAGCTCTACTATCAACTCTTCTAAAAAGGTTGAATTTACCTAATCTACCTCTATAATATAATACAAGTTAAATCATCAATCAAGACCCGCAACACATTGGAAACAGGCAAAATAAAGTCGTTAAAAAGGCATTATTATGCATAATAATGTAACACACATCAGTGCATTGAAGTGCAAGTTGTACTTCGTATTCCTTATGTCTCTCTGTCCCTATCATCCGGCGACGGATTACCATTGGAAATCTATGTCCATCCCACTACCCCTGCGTGGGGGTCGGGGCTTCCAGCAAGATTCCTCTCTTTTTTTTTTTCTCCCAATCTTGGCAGGGTTGACCATTCATTTCTTGATTCTGTTTCTTCTTTTTTTTCTCCCCTCTGCAGAGTTATCTCTTAAAATCAACGCCACCCCTTCGCCTGAAAATCGCATATTTGGTAGCCTGACCACTTATGTGCCTGTCCGAGCAAAAATACATTCAGCCCTAAAATAGTAGACACGAACGAAGAAAACTAAAAAAAAAAAGAACTGAGGGAAGATGGAATGAAAAATAAAAATCAACGGCAACCAGCTCTGGGGAATAAAGGGGGTATCCATCCGTTCGTCTCATTTCATTCCATGCAATCTTCCTCCCGTTCAGACTTCCCTGGACCATATCCTTCCCACCGAATGTGCCTAATATGCAAGCGCATTTAAAAAAGAAAAAAAGAAGAAAAAGAAAAGCAAGGGAATGAAATTTTATCGCGTGGGCGACGAAAAAAAACGGTTTAGGAAAATCGAGAGCGAGTGTCCTGACGCCCCATTCATGTTTCGCCGGTAGTCTTCCAAGACTTACAAGTCGCGAAGCAATTCGCACGCCGACCGCTACTGAATACCAACCCCCCCATCCAACACGCTGCCTCCCCCTCCAAAATGACTCCCCCTACTATGCTCCCATTGCCCGAACCCGGATACGGAAAGATATAGATAGTAAGAATCAAGCTTGTCGTAACGTCGTAACGGCTCACAAAACAAAGTATCATGTGGCTCACAGCTTCTTTCAGCTATCGTCTTCGGCATCATCGTCATCATCGTCGGGCGTCTCCGGTTGCGTCTTGGCTTTCTTGTTCGGGGCAGCGGAATTAGAGTCCGACTTCCTCTTAGAGCCGGTCTTAACAGGTGCTGCCTCAGTCGCGCCGTTATCCTTATCCTCCCCTGAGCTTTTATTCCTCTCGATCTCGGCTACCTCTTCTGCAGTTAAGAACCGCCCACCGGGACCTCGAGGTCGTCGCATCGCATGATTATGCCGAGACTCGTGAAGGTAAGGCTTTCTACCCTTACTCGTTAAACGCAATGCTTCTTCTAAGCGTTGTCGGGCGACCCTTCTCTTGAGGATTCGGTGGAATTGCTTCGCATTGACATATAACGGTGATTCCTCTGCGCCCGCAGCTATCTCGGGCGACTGAGGCGGAGGCATGGATTGTGTTGGCGGCATTGGGGGAGGGGCAACGGCGGAGCGGCCGGCGGTATGGTTCATCATCGGTGCGCTCGGTACACCAGGGCTCGTAACCTGGCTCATACGTCGTCCAGGGAGTTGATTCACATTATTCAGCTGCTGAGGTGATCGAGGGTCGCGCGAATCCTTCTTCCCCCCGGACGTCATCCTAGGTGAATTTTGAGGGAGGCTGGGGTCCGATGGCATGTATGATGAATAACCCGTCCCACCGGCAGCGGCAGCGGTCGCGGCCATGGCAGCCGCTTGAATCTGGGGCACCCCGTAGTGCATCCCCTGCTGGGGCACGCCATACTGAGTTTGGTACATGTTGTGTCCTTGTCCCGGTGTTGAGGTTTGGTGTTGCGACGGTAGGATTGGCGAAGTCTGAACGCCGTGTTGATGTATGTTGTGACTCGTTGGGGACGTGATATTGTTCCCAGCACCAGAATTTGTGTAACCAGAATGCGCCGACTGTGGTGGTTGCTGGTATTGCGCGTATTCCATCATTATCGGGGACAGGTAACGCGCGGGGCGGCAGGGATTTTGCAATACCCTAACGTCGATGCCTCTATTGCAATGCGAATCAGAGACAAGCGGGTAGGTTTAATAATAAAAATCCGTTGGCCACTTAGAGAGATGCTAGTGGTACAAGGTCTTGCTGAGATGATGGGGATTAAGACCGTGCTCAAAGCTCGGCTTGGGTTGCTTGATAACCTTGAGATAAAAGGCTGTAAGGTTGGCTGCAGTTAGTTGGGCATACGCGCCCTTAGTTACTTAGGTAGCCGCGAAAGTAGGCTGGATGTGCATCCAATCTATTGGATATGCGCGGATGAGCTGGCAGTGAATGATGTGGTAGGTGCACACAGAGGGTCGCACCAGGGCATATGCAAAACGAATGTATCTCGCGGGGTGGAATCAATCAATGCTCCAGATCCTAACAAAGACGGGAACTTGACAACCACGTGAGAATCCGGGGGATACGTGAGCCGCTGTGAGGCTATCCAATTCAACGAGCCTATAGCAATGACTCTGCGGGAGCGGGTAGCCTAGCGAAACAGCTCAAGGTTGTTCTCGAGGCTTATTCGCAATGACCGTTTAGCTGTGGAGATCTACCCAACCAAAGATATTAGACATTAAATTCGCCATGTTAAGTATATGGAAAGCTCGGATGATGGGAGGGGGGTGGAGGGGGTGAGAAATCGTCCTCTTTTTTTTTCGCGCTGGACCACCACTTGATGCGCTGGCATGCATGACGGAATATGCAGAGACTGGGCCCCACCCTGTCGACCAGCTCACAGCAGAGCGACAGGAGATCCAACTCGCATTGCCCAGCAGTGGCGCAAGGCAAAGGCTGCCCGATGCTAGACCTTGCGAGGAGAAGCCGTCTTACGCCATGGGAGCTAGGCTATCAAAGCTCTCTTATGCCATATTGACCATATTGTAAATCTCAAGGCTGCATCATAGACGATTGGCCAAGAAGTATATGCACTTTTCGAACACATGCGACGTACACATATGTAGCTTTTTTGGGAAGAGACAGCGAATTGCTGGCCACACCAAAAACAGAAAAAGGTGTGCGGCAGAAAAGGGACAAGGAAAGAAAAGGAAAGGACCGAGATGAGTTACGCAAGAATGGAAGCGTAGTGCCTTGTATGGAGGAGTTGACGGCTCAAAGAGGGTATATCCGATCGTCAAGCCTTGCCTTAGCGGGAAAGAGATGGGAAAGAAGGGTGTGGTTGCGGTGAGAATGGTGTGTGGATGTATCGTTGCAGACGGGCAGATGGGGGATAAAGAGACATGCGGCGCAGGTGTGAGAAACATATGAATATTGTACATACCTTTTTTTGGCAGGTTCCCGAGTACTTGGGTTCGACCTACGCAAGGTGCCGGTCTGATGGGACCAGTTGCGCCTCTGTCGCAAAAAAGGTGGTTAGTTAGACTAATTCGAGAAGCGAAAGAATTGAACGAATAGCAATTATACGAATTGGAGCGAAGCAACAATTGTCATAATACAGAAGAAGAATGAATGAATAAGAATTTGGCGAACAGGTGTATCCGGGGTGAGCAATGTATCATTCTGGGGTAAGCTTGCGACAACGTAATATATTATCAAAAATAGCTGGGTGTAGCTATAATGCCGGGATTGTGGTGCCTCGGAGTTGTTTGTGTAGAAGGAAGCTGGCTGATGGCTAACACGAGCCGGTGTGGAAGACGGTGTATGATGTATGATGTAAGGTACATGTAGGTAGTAGGAAGGGAGGACATACCAAGGGAAAAAGGGCGAGAAATAATATCGCGCCTTGAAGTCTCTCCGCGTTTGAGGTTTTAGGAGCGAGGGCTACCTAGAGCAATGATTGTATTCTAATTGAGCCGAGCGCAGTCTTAACAATTGCTGTCCGCAGACGGCATCAATCACCTGATGAGCAGGTAGAGCCAATAGCGACAATAAAGATGGTTTTGTTGATGATGATAGGCCTCTGTATCTATTCACGAAGGGGTTAGTTATATGATAGGCATTGAAGAGCTCAATGGTTTGTTGCATCTGAGTGGGTTTCCTGTCGCTTTTCTTTTTGCGCTGAAGCGCTTACTGGCTGGAATTATTTCTTGGGCTTGCGCCATTCGGCATTAACTTATAGATTTCAAAAAGAGAACAAGAGACCAAAAATGGACACGGAAATTTGTCTCATGATTGGAAGAACAAAGGAAGAAAAGAAAAGGAAAAAAAAAAACCGGAGGAAACAATACGCGCCGTACCTTGAGGATGTCTTGCAATACTCTCTGGTCTGGTTGCAGTGTAAGTGGTATATGTAAGTGGTATACACACACGACTGGCTTTGTGTACACACACGAGGGTGACAAGTTAGAGTAAGTTTAGGTACTGATGATGGACACCTGCGGTGGCGTGCATAAAAGGATCTCTTCTTCTTCTTCGCGTCAATTCGGCAGCACGGCCTACAATAGGAGTATCAGAATTGATACAAGGCGGCTATGCAGATAGTGGCAGATAGTGGCAGCTACCTAGGTAAGTTGATGATATATAGCGAACGTGTAGCGTGTCGCTCCTGGTTGGCTGCAATTTTTGGTGTTCTGTATGGACCAAGTTTCCAGTTTGTGCTTGGTCTTTGTACCTGGATGCTGGATCTTCAGGTGACCCGAAGATTGTGACTGGACAGAAAGGATTCTTGTGCGGAACCTGTCAGCCCAGATAATGCGGAGCGGATAAATGTTAGATGGGATCAGTAAGTGTAAGTATAACCTAGGTAGAGTTATAAATTATAAACCAGGGCACCTGAAAGGAAAGGCTCAATATGATTCGATGTTTTAGAAACAGACTTTCTGGGAGCTGTTTGGATGAAAAAAAAGACAGAGCGTGGGAGGAAGGCCAATTGATTCGATGAATTTTTTAACAAGTGGTGGACCAAGAGGGGATTGATTGGTGAAAAATGGGCAGAGACAAGTAAAAAGCGAGGGAAAGCGAGCCCAGAGGGACCCGACGTTTTAATGGGGCTGCATTTGTGACTAATCAGCTGCCTTGTTAAAATCTTCGTTGTGGGCCAGTGTGGATTTGATTATGGGTCCTCCTTGCTCACTACCTGACTGACTACCTGGTCCTCTAGGTCCTGTTAGCCCCGCTATCGTGCCAACGTACTATGTACCTCCAATGTATTGTACCCACAGTGTCTGAGTGTGTCTATCTTATGTACGTTGTAGGTACAAGCGCAGCCCTGTTACCAGTGAAAATTTATGTGGCGCCCTTGGGGCTGATAGGTGATTTTCTTACTTTCTCTCTCTTTCCTTTGCTGCTTGATCAAGTTTCTACTAATGTATAAACACTTATAAGTGGTAGCGTTTTATTATTATAATATTACCAAATGCGACTCTTTTCCCTTCATCACATCTAGAATACGCATAAATCGGGTTGTAATTGCAAGGTTTTTAATGTTTCCTCATATGATTTAGGTAATGCACAAGATAATTACGGCATACCTAATATGTACTTTGTACATAGTAAAGAACATTGAACAGAGACTTGGACGCGGTGACAAATGCTTTCTTGTAAGCGTCCGAGCCGGTGGCTGGGTCAGGTTTCTTGTGGTATGTATGTATGTATGTACCTTAGGTACCTAAGCTATGTACCTATTGTCTCTCTCTCTCTCTTTTTTATTTTTTTTTCCCTATCTCAGTGCCCCAGCCCCTCTTCTCGAGACTTTGTCCTTACGTACTCCGCTTGACGTGTCAGCAGCTTATGTCAAGTTACGGAAGAATCATGCTTGACAGGGATTAGCCTGTCTTTTCCAAGTACCTAGTGTATTTCTTAAGTCCCCCGCGCAAAACTTCGCATTGCATCTCTCGTGTGCGGTACAAATACCTACATGGTTACTTCTCACATACATACACACATACACACATACATTGGTGACTACAGGACCTCAATACTGCAAATTGCAGAAAATACTCTATCTTTTTGCAGTTGCCTACCTGACGAGTTACACTATTTCTGTAAATGGTGAGATTCAGCGGGGTTTGGCTAATCATGGTAGCTTTCGGCTTTACCAACAACCAAGGATAGATGCCGGTCGGTGGGACACGCAAGGCGGCAGACCAAACTCACCCAGACCCTCCTAGCATCATCCCCTAGGACGAAATAGCTCTCCTCTACTATTATACGAAGCTTGGTAAAAGGTAGGTAAAACATCGTCACCAGCGGTTAACTGCTTAGTTGCTTCTATAAACTACCTCTACCTACCTGGAATTCAAACATTCAGTACCATGACGGTAACCCTTACATTCAAGGTTTCGTAACTATCCCCCAGATCGACGCCAGCATGGCAGCATGGCAGCATGGCAGATGATCGTTGTGGCGTGTGGTGACAGTTGTTGTTTATGCTAAGCACCCCGGCCTATATTATACTGTACGCTATGTTACAATCCAGCTGTACAATACATAAACATAGTAAAACGAGGAGAAACTTGGTTCACGGCATGATGCCCTAGCAAGCTTAGGCCACCGGAGCTCAAGCTCACGCGTCACGACTCTAATAATAGGTTCGCTTCCCCATCCAACGTCCACAAACAACTACATACATAGTAACGCGCGATACGAATATCCATTCTCTAAGGATTGACCATGAGCGAGGGGACCAAAGAAATCGACAGCATTCTCTGTTTATCTACATAGTATCTGTGATTTTCACCTCCTACCCAGCCAGCGCCGGCTTACACGTCACGGAGAAGCTGGGCCCGCCTAGCTCTGTTCGGAAGTAGTTTGAAGGGATCTTAGACCAGCGCGGCTCCAACACTATGCACGCTTTTATCTGCATGTCAGCAATCACAGTGTGGTATTCTGCCACATAAACGGAGACACTGTGAAACTGGCTACAACCACACATGTCCCTCTGGTCCTTAGCAAAGTGGGTGCATCATTCTAACGGTGAAGGGAAGAAACAGATGGCGGGCGGAGCCTATCCCTCCTTCTTCTTGCCAGGCTCGCTCGAGCTCAACGTCCG